TGCCCTGTAGGGATTATTATAAAATCGTTGATTTTTCTTTCATTTTCCCTTTCTTCCTCGCACCATTACTCAGTCTATTTCTCTCTTTATCTCTTATCTTTCCCTCTGTCTGCCTCTGTCTCCTTTCCTCTGTCTTTATTCTCTCCTCCCCCGTCACCCTCCATCTATCTCAATCTATCTTTTTTTTTCTTTCTCTTTCTTTCTTTCTCCTCTCTCTCTCTCTCTCTCTCTCTCTCTCTCTCTCTCTCTCTCTCTCTCTCTCTCTCTCTCTCTCTCTCTCTCTCTCTCTCTCTCTCTCTCTCTCCAGAATCGTGAACACAAAGACAACAAAAAGAAACAAAGCCACGAATGAACGGGACAAGTACGAAATCGAAATCGTCAAGGTTAATGATAGCAATAATAACAATAGCAATAATAACAATAGTAATAATAATGATAGTAATACTAACGTCTCGAAATCATCACAAATCATATCAGACGTGATATGATTTTGTTTTTCTTAAACGAGACGCATATACAAAGAAAATGTATAAAACAAGAAAAAGAACAGGAATCAAGTACCGGAGAACGGGTCGAGGCCAGAGTTTGCTGTGGCGGCTCGACGGTAAGGAAAATGAATATGGAGATGGCGGTAATGATCCTACTACTGCTGCTACTACTAATAATAACGATAATGATTATGATAACAATAATAGTAATAAGGATGATGATGATAATGATGATGATGATAATGATGATGATGATAGTAATAATAATAATAAAACTACTACTACTACTACTGCTGCTAATAATAATGATAATGATGATATTAAGAATTATATTTTTACTATTACTAATATTAATAATATCAGTGATAATGCTAATGATAATGGTGATACTGCTGCTGCTACTACCACTACTACGACTAATAATAAAAATAATGCTACTAATACTAATAATACTGATACTACAACTAATAATAATTAGGATAATATTAATAATGATAATAATAATGATGATAACAATATTAATAAGTATGATGATGATGATGATAATAATAATAATAATTATAATTATAATTATAATTATAATAATAATAATAATAATAATAATAATAATAATAATAATAATAATATCAATAATATCAATAATAATAATAATATCAGAATGATAATCATAATATCAGTAACAATAATAATAATAATAATATCAGTAATAATAATAATAATAACATCAGCAATAATAATAATAAATCATTATTATTAGTAGTAGTACTATGATCATTATTACTATATCATTACTGCTACTACTACTACTACTACTACTACCCTTAAGAGAAATTATAATGATAACAATGATGATCGTGATAATAACATAAAAAATAGCAAAACTAATGAGGATAATGTTAATAATAATAGATAATAATAATAATGATAGTGATGATAATAATGATAATAATAATAATAGTAATGATAATAATAATCATGATAATAATAATAATAATAATAATAATAATAATAATAATAATAATAATAATAATGATAATAAAATAATGATAATAATAATAAAGATAATAATACAGCAATGATAATAATAGTAACAATAATAATAAGGCTAATAAAAAAGATAACAATAGTACTGGTGGTAGTAGTAGCAGTAACAATAATCATTATTATTATTATTATTATTATTATTATTATTATTATTTTTATTATCATTAATATTATTATTATTATTATTATTATCATTATTACCATTATTATTATTATTATTACAACATGGCTTAGCTGTGTCCGGACCCTCAACCAAATTATCCTGGAAATGGAGCGAAGGAGAGCCCCGCACACTTCCCCAGAGGCCGTACCAAACGCTGGGAGTCCGTTTACTACAATGCACACACGGAATCCAGAGTGAGATGAAAAACAGCTGATTCGTGCCTTGGGAACGACGTGACGCTGCATCTGATAACGGAGATATGGAAGCCCGCAGCCACATGACGAAGGGTGACTCACGCGGCTAGCTTGTCCATCACTCCACCTCGCGACCGAGCCTGTGGCATGCGTCTGACTGTGTGCCAGATTCATCTCCTGTTTGGTTTGAGTATGAAGCGGATATCGAGTCGTGGCATATCCGCGGAGAGTAAATAAACACGTCTTGTATGCTATCAATGATGTGTTATTATTCGTAACACGTAGCTTTACGGGTGTAGTCGTTCGGTGAATAAATGTATAGGTCACTATTCCAGGATGTTTGTACGTGATCAGTATGCGTATTTGTAATAATCTTCCATACTTTTTGGATTTAGCTCTTTTGTATGTTTAGGTTTTCACTGATGCCACACACTTTTTTTTGTAAAAAGACAAAAAAAAAAAAAAAAAAAAAAAAAAAAAAAAAAAAAAAACACGACCGAAAGTCCTTACATCTTGCGCACCAAACACAAAACTAAAAGTATCGAGTTGATATCAGCGCCGGTCACCTTGTGGGTTTGCTGGTGGCGGCGGAAACCCTCGCTGGAAGCCTC